AAGGTTACCCTGGTTGGACTTCTGGGTTTAGGAGCTATGTTAGAGACTCGTTAGTCTAGATCATCTGGCAAACAGCTGGGGCTCAATCATTTTAATATTCTTCTCTGCATTTATTTCCTTGTCTGCTGCAAGGATCACCAGCATATCTGAGTCGTTAGAACTCCTCAGCATCAGTGTATTTCAGAGGAACTACAAAACCCTTCTTCTTTCCACCTCCACTCAGTAAGAATTCCAGATTAAATCCACTAATAGCTGGTAGGCTAAGGGTGGCCTTCATCTTGTCTGCAAACAGAGCCAAGGATAGAAGGGTAAGTTTGATCTTGGAAAGCCTGTTTACCCTAGTTAAGGGAATGGTTCAAGTTTTCAACAGTATCATGCAGGTAACTGACAAGTCATTCCTGCTCAGTGCAAGTAATATATTTCTTCCTGACTGCCACATCAATCAGGATAGGCTAGGTTATGCTGCAATGACAAATAGCCTCAAACTCTCAGTGGTTTAAAACCGCAGTTTTGTTTCTTCCACATGGGGCTGCTGGGGCTCTTTCTGTGGCTGGAGGTTCTGAGTCACCCTCACTCTGGGACCCAGGGTAATGGTCCAGTCAGTCATCCTCTGGAATATCACCAAGTTCTGGGCTCCAGGAACTAAAAGTTCTCAAGGGTTTTCTCACCGATAATTAAATGTTTGAATCTAGTTTGACAAACTTTGCTCCCACTGCCAGCTCAGAACTGATTGTTTGGCACCTCACCAACCCCAAGGGAGCAAGAAGAGTGGGCCTCTTGAATGCTTAGGGGCAGCAAGCCAGAAATGCTCAAGAAATTGATGTCGAAACTAACTTTGCTTTCTGTCCAAGTCTCAGATTCAGACATCTTGCTAGTCTGGTTCTAATTAGTTAGGATATCAGTGTTTTGACCTTGCCAAGTTCAAAAGCAATTTAGAAGGAAAAAAAGTTCCACCAACTTGAACAGTATCCATTAGCTTAGGGGAAAAATTATGCAAGTCATAAATTGTTTTTATCTGCTTGCTGACACTATATCATGTCTTTATCTTCTTTTACTGAAAACCAAGAAGACTCCTATATAATCTCCTATAATTCAGTAGTCTTATTTGGGTAACCAATAACAAAACTGAGTAGGAAAAGGACATTTCAAACTCTTTGATCGTGAATTCTACTTTACCAAAGTAGAACCAAAAGCCTGGAAAGATTAAGCAACTTTCCTAAAGTCACACAGCCAAAGATCACCATGTTACATTCCGCTTCTATATTGCTAAATAGCAAGATACTCATTAGAAATAAGTCTATTCTGTCTTCTGGGGACAAAAGATCCCTTGAAGGTAAGAGAGAGGCATCTCTTCCCACAGGTGCCCTGCTCTGGAATCCTCCTAGGTTCAGAGGTACCAGCACCTCCAGCCAATTTGGTGAAGTTGATGAGATCCTGCGTGGGTCTGGCAGCTGAAGTTTGTGATCATCTGGGTAAAGGCAGCCTGGCACTAGATCTCTTCTTTAATCCCAGTACACAGGGGCAGCAGGGCATGTGTACACACACACACACACACACACACACACACACACACACACAAACACTTCACGGCTCCCAGGCGCATACTATGCAGCCTCACAGTGGAAATTCCCAACCATTCATTTGTGTTTTTCTGCTGGGCCTCACCCTTTTGGGGAATGTACAGAGGACACAGGAGAGGCAAAGGGGAATAACAGCAAAGGGCAGAGGGTGAGAGGGCTGCAGGTAGCTGTCGCCCAAAGGACCCTGCAAGCCTAGGTGGGTGGAGGTAGGCTGGCCTGGTGCGGAGGGCTCTAAAACTCTGGCTAGGTGCCAAATCCCCTAGTTTGGAAGGCAGGGCAAGGCGGAGAGGGAAAGAGAGGAGAGGAAGGAGGGAGGAAAGAGGCAACGGCTTGAAAGTGCAGACTCTCAGCTCTCCCACCCCTGAATTCAGCAGGACTGAAGTGGGGCTCAGGAGTCTCTACTTTTGACAATCTGTGGCTCACAATTTCAGAAACAGTGGTTAAGATTCAAGTCCTAGAGAAAGGCTTCAGGTTCCAGCTCTGCTGCTTACAGTCTGTTTGACCTTAGGCAAGTCCCGTGGACTTTGAAAACCTTCCTCTCATCATCTGCAAGTGGAAGCCCTTGTACATAAAGAATTTAGTATATTGCTTGGCATGCGGTAAACATGAAATAAACAATGGCTATTTTAATAATAATTATATTACTATTATTATAATATGATATTATAATAATATTCATTGGAAGGACTGATGCTGAAGCTCTAGTACTTTGGCCACCTGATGTGAAGAACCAACTCATTGGAAAGACCCTGATGCTGGGAAAGATTGAGAGCAGGAGGAGAAGGGGGTGACAGAGGATGAGATGGTTAGATAGCATCACAGAGTCAGTGGACCTGAATTTGAGCAAACACCAGGAGATAGTGGAGGACAGAGGAGCCTGGCATGCTGCAGTCCATGGGGTCGCAAAGAGTTGGACATGACTTATCGACTGAACAAGAGTGATAATGATATAAATAATAATATTGTATTATTAGTAATAGTATATTATGTCTCAGAACCCTGATCATTCTATCAAAGTTTTCAGAGGCCTCAGGTGGCTCAAATGGTAAAGAATCTGCCTGCAGTGCAGGAGACCTGGGTTCAATCCCTGAGTTGGGAAGATCCCCTGGAGAAGGGAACGGCTACCAACTCCAGTATTCTGACCTCGAGAATTCCATGGACTGTATAGTCAGACCCGACTGAGTTACTTTCACTTCCACTTTCAAGTCTCCATCAAACTCTGCACTAATTGTGGGGAATCACTTCAGCTAAAGTTGAGCTCCACAACTGAAAGAGAAAAATGAAACCCAAAATCCCTAGGGAGTGGATCTGGACTGAAGGATAATAAAAATTTCTTTTGTTCTCCATTCTCTTCTGAAACATGGAAAGCTTAACCTTATCTGAGAATGTGATGAAAAATCAGGGACAAATATTTTCATTTCAAAGCCACTGCTGATGTTGCATGTTGCTGAAAGGGTGGTGTTCAGTTGTTGAGGGGATATGACTTTGCCTCCAGCTCCCTCCTGGGGGTGGGAATGGGCAAAAGCAGGAGGGACTGGACTTGGGGTGAAACAGGAAAGCTATTGTGTGCTGCTAAGTGCACTATTAGAATTTGCAGGGACTTCCCTAGTAGTCCAATAGTTAGGACTCGGGGCTCCCACTGCAGGGGGCATGGGTCCTAGCCCTGGACTGGGAAGTAAGATCCCACAAGCTGAGTGGCGAGGCAGCAATATCAGATTCTTGCAGGAACTTCAAACCTAAATGTCTATGGGGTTCGGCAGGTGGTGAAATGAGGGAAGCTGCATGTAAGAAAAATTAAGGGCCCATCATATGCTGTCTTTCCTGGTCCCACTTTTGATGAAGACTTGAGCTCAGAGAAAAATATCCTCTCTATGAGAAAAACAAGAGGAGGGTGATGATAAATGGCAATTGACATGGCCACTGGAATCCGGAGCACCAAAAAGTAGAAAGGGTGGTAGAGAACTCAGGATTGTCACCCTGGTCTGCTCCATCTCAAGGCACAACCACGGCTCAGGCCCTACCCACCATCATCTTGGGGATGACACCACACAGTGGGGGTTAGACCTTCTGAATCACTTAAGAGAACCTAGAAAAGTGGGCTGGTGTGCATAATTTCCTGATTCTTAAGTGTTGCCTCTAATTAAAAAAAAATACCATGTAGACATCAAATCTAAAAATGCCTCTAATGCAAAACATTCTGATATTTAATAAACCACTAGTAGAGAACAAAAGACCTGTCAATTAAACTATGACAAGTCATTGACTGTAAGATACATCTCGATTCCAAAGGTATTACAAAATGAAGAAAGAAATGTGTATCTAAGAATCCATGCAATTATTTGTTCATTCACTCAGTCATGTCCAAATCTTTGAGACCCCATGGACTGTAGTGTGCCAGGCTTCCCCGTCCTTCACTATCTCCTGGAGTTTGCCTAAACTCATGTCCACTGAGTCAGTGATGCCATCCAACCATCTTGTTCTCCTTCTCCTCCTGCCTTCAATCTTTCCCAGAATCAGGGTGTTTTCAAATGAGTCAGTTCTTCACACCAGGTGACCAAAGTATTGGAGCTTCAACTTCAGCATCAGTCCTTCCAATGAATATTCAGGATTGATGCAATACTGTATAATAAGCTAGACTTGGCCTTTGGCACGTTGCACAGTTTCCAGTCTACACAGCTGTACAGAGCACCTGATGATGCCACCTTGGGCACTGGTGGTTCATACTTGAGTCACACCTCTGAGTACCCAAGTCCCTTGAGAAGTAATCCCTCTTTGATCTTTATCTGGACCAGCAGTGAGTTGAGGCTGTAAAGAGGAAAATGTGGCCCAGATTGCTCCCGTGGGTCACTAGATCCCTAATGGTGATACCAAGGCACTCAAAATGGTGGTTTAGTAGGCCTGGGCAGTGGGAGGGGGCAGGGTGGGGGACTTCATAAGGGAATCTAATTCCTGCCATGGATGGAAGCTGCTAGAAATCTCTCACCTGGTTTTTAAAAATCTTCTAAAATTTTTAAAAATTCTTACCGTGGAGTATAGTTATTAACAATGTTGTGTTAGTTTCAGGTGTAGAGTGAAGTCTCACCTGATTTTATGCATGCCCAGTGTCACATACCTGGGCAGAACAGAGCTAGGCTGGAGGCTCAGCCGTCCTCACGGACCCCTTCTCCTGCTGCTCCTCTGCCCCAGGGGTCTCCAGTGCTTCCCCAGAGAGCACTGTTTGTTTGTTTTGGCCACACTGCCCTGCAGCATGCGGGACCCCGGGGCCAGGGACCAAACCTGTGTCCTCTGCAGTGGAAGCACAGAGTCATATCCACTGGTCCACTGGAGAAGTCCCACTTCCCCAGAGAGTCTTGGCTCCTCCTTTGTTCCATCTTCCCAGAGGCCCTGGTTGCTGAGTCTGACGCAGGAAAAACAACTATATAGGACCCACAAGACTTTTCAAATTTATTAGTAAAATACAAAATGGTACAGACATTGGTGATAGGGTTGGAAAAGCAAAAGGATCAACCAACTCCTTCCAAAGCCCTCCCCAAATTGTCTTTGTCTCTGTCCTTCTCCGGAGGACCTCATAAAGTCTGTGGAAGGGGGACTTGTTGTCCCCAGCCGTTTTATCACAGGTGGGAGCCCCATCACAGGGGCCCCATCCCTTGAAGTCTCCCCATCAAGAAGAACCAAAAAAGTGCATTCAGATCTGCTGTCCCCCTCTCTGAGTGGTCAGAGTGCCCCCAAACCGAGCCAGGCCCTCACGGGCGTGGAGGAGGACCAGGCGGACAGGGAAAGCTGGCTTCCCTCTCTCTGTGGACCAGAGCCGCATGTACACTCTCTCAGCTTCGTGTACACTGTCTCAGCATCTGTCTGCAAAGGAGCATGCCACCTGTACATGGAGAGCCTAGCCCATAGGAGACTCCTCTGGTGGGCTGCAAAGAACACCTTCAGAGGCAGTCAGAGGGAGGTGGGGAGCTGCCACCAGACACCCTGAGGGGTGAGACTTGAAGGTCTGGCTCTGATGGTGGGGTGCTGGCCAGTCCAGAGAGCCTTCAGCCCCACCCAGCCCTGCCCGAGTCTTCAGTGCCTAAAAGGGAACCTCTGACCTCATGCCCACAACTTCCCCTCCCCTGCCCATCCCTCCCCACAGGACAGAGTCCCTTTCAGAAGTAAACACGGGAACCTCAGGTTTCCATGGTGGATTCTGATCTCACGGAAAACGTCATGGAAATTCCTGGCCCTGCCTGCAGTGGAGGTGAAGGGGAGGCAGGAAGAACTCAGAGTGCAGAGGACAGTGTTTTCAAGGAGTGAGAGGTGGAAGAGGAACCCAGACCGTGGGCAAGAAAGAGAAAATGCTGGACCTGGGTCCCTCATGAAGGAGTGGAAGAGGAAGGGGTGTGGCTACTGCCTGCAGCTGCTCCGGCTCCTTTCTTGGAGCCTGCAGGCCTCCACTCCTCCTTCAGCCTTCACTTATGACCTGGTAGGCTGTCACAAGTCGCTGGGTGGGTGGGGGGGGGCAGGACCTTCTGGTCACAGCATTCATGGACTTGCCTGTCTCATCGATGGTTGAGAGCATCTCTACTGCTGAAGATTGAGAAGCTGCACCCAGGGTCTGCAGAAAGGGGTCTCTGGATCAACTAGTGATGCCTGACAGGGATAGAGGTTATTGCCACATATCTACCATCCCTGTTCCCTTTCACAGATGAGACACCAGAGGGATGAATGTCTTGATGGACTGGTGAGGGCCTGGGACTAAACTCCCAGCCTTCACATTCATAGTCAATGTTCCTTCACAGATGCGGAGGTTGGGGGTGGGGGGTGGTGAGGGTGGACTCAAAGCCAGCAGATTACTTCATCTCTCATTCCCAAAACGCCTGCCCAAGGGCAGAACCTCCGCTGGGAGCAGTCCCAGGAAACACCACACTAGCCTCATGCAAGAAAAGACAGGTCCCCGCCTGGGGCATGGGGTCTGGACAGGAGACATGGATAACTAGCACCGCAGGTGGCCGGGGTGGCTGGCGACCGCAGCGGGACCAAGAGACGCGATGAGGTCTGAGGGAGCGGGCAGGAGAGGCCTGACCCGAGGCTCGTTTTCAAGAGGGGATGACTGTGGTAACACGGGGAGTGGGTCAAGGGGGCTGGGCGTTCAGTAAATAATTGTTCACGGGGGCTGGCATGGTATCTAAGGGACCCTCTGATCAGCCAACAGCAGAGGGGCGTTTTTTGTCTTGGGACATTGGAGTGAGCTGGGGAGGCCACCTGCTCTGTCCACAGTAGGTCACGAATGGTCAAGGGTGGCCTCCAGAAGCTGGGAGCAGACCCACCCAGATGACCCCGCCTCCTTGCTCCAGTCATCGCAGCTTGGGCCAGGCCCTTGGGTGAGGGGGAGTGTGGGGATGGGGGACCCCGGGCCGCTGAGTTGAACGACTGGATGGACGCAGGCAGCAGGGGAGTTCAGACTGGCACCAGGACGTAGGAGTTACTGCCACAGCTCCGGGGGACATAGCAGATCCCATCCACCATATCCCCCATCGTCTTGCGGGGGCAGCTCTGCAGTCTCTGGTAGGCAAACATGGCCACCCCCAGGCAGAAGAGGAAACCGAGGAAGGCCAACAGCCCTACAGCCTGCCTTCGTGTGGCCACCTGGGAGTCAGGGATGGATGTCATGAGGATGCCCAGACTCTGGGGGCCTGCGGTGGTGAGAATGGGCTCCTTGGCCTTGGGGAGCTCCTCAGTCTTGGGGGCCCAGCTGCCAGAGGCCAGTGCATCAATGCTGGGGGTCCCTTCAGAGGATACAGTGACCTCGAAGACACCGTACACAGTGGCCGACCTCAGGAAGGCATCCGTGTGAGCTGCAGAGGGACTCATTTCTTTGAACCCTAGAGAGTTCTTTGATGAGTCCTGTACCTTGATTCCCACAGTTAGGCTTCCAGGCCAAGTGCTGTCCTCTAAGACAGTGTGGGAAAGAGTCGGGGCCTGGGTGGAGGGGACCGGGGAGGGGAGGGCCTGGGTGGAGGGGACCCAGGTAGGGAGGGTCTGGGTGGGGAGGGTCTGGGTAGAGGCTTTCCCCTCAGTCCAGAGGCCTGCCCCAGTTTGGTCGGCAGCAGAACTCTGCCAAGACGTGGCGGTGGTGACGGCAGCCTTGTTGAAAATCTCAGTTTTCTGAGTCCCTCCATCTGGAGCTTTTGAAGTGGAGGAGGACCTGGTCCCCATGGAACCAGCCACTCCTGGCGAAGTCCCCAAGGCACTCTCTGCCCCCAGACCACTGCTTTCGCCTGTGAAGTTCGCCTCTGAGGCAGCAGACCAGTACATCTCCCTGGCGCCCAGAGTAGTCCTGGGCTCACCCTCACCGATTTGCCTCTCGAATGTGCCGCTCTTTTGAATCATAGCAGCCTTGTTGTCTAGGATCTTCATGACTTCCTGGACCCATTTCTCCTTTGGGTCAGCACAGAGTAATTTATCCTTCACAGTCTTCAGGCTGCAAGGAAGGAAGACAAGGGGGCCAGTGATGCTTAGATGCCATGTGGAGTAGGAGCATCACACAAAATCTCTGCAGGTGAGCCGACTTGGCTTGAAGTCAAGTCGCCACCACTTACTAGCTGTGAGCTATGAGCTTCTTAACCAGGGCAGCTCAGCTTACAGAACTTCTGTGTTCTCACTTGAGAACTGGAAAGAGAGTCCTGTCTTTTTCAGGGTGACCAATCATCCCAGAAAAACTGGAACTGAAAGGGTCTTTTTGTGAAAATTCCGGCAAACCAGGACAAGTTGATCACCTGCCTCTGTGTTATTGTAAAAAATGAAAAGGATGTAAAGCACCTGGTTCACAGTGCGTGCATGAGAACTTAGTCACTCAGTTGTGTCCAACTCGGTGCGACCCCATGGACTGATATGCACCAGGCTCCTCTGTCCGTGGAATTTTCCAGGCAAGAATACTGGAGTGGGTTGCCATTTCCTACTCCAGGGGATCTTCCTGACCAGAAAGATAATAAAAATGTAAGTCATAATGTCATGAACGTGAGGATGGGGGCTCTTTGCTGCGAGTTTTCTGATTGGGAGATATCCCAGGTGTTCTCTGCCACCAGGTGTGTGACTGGCAAGCTTGGCGGTGGAAAAGACTTAATGTCATAACCTCCTCTTCCTCCTCTCCCTCAGTTGAAGTCTGTCCTCTGGACCTCTCTCCTCTCTTAGAGTGTATCCTCAGGCTGCAAGGGACCCTAGGATGCTACAACCCTCTATATGGTGTCCCTGATGGGACCCCGAAAGTGAAATGTGAATGAAAGTGTTAGTTGCTCAGTTATGTCTGACTCTTTGTGACCCCGTGCACTGTAGCCTGCCAGGATCCTCTCTCCATGGAATTCTCTAGGCAAGAATACTGGAGTGGGCAGCCATTCCCTTCTCCAGGATCCTGAGTTCCATCCAAATCATAAGCTTCCTTTGAAGCCTGTGTGTGGCTTAGTACCAAGACCACAGCTTGGAGCTGGCTGGGATCCCTGCTCCACACCCTGGCCTGTGCTGGAAATTTTGCCTGGTTAAACCTCATACCCTTTCTGCAAGATGGCTACTACATACATCCCCATTTTACAGATTAGAAAACTGAGGCTTAGAGGGGTAATATAAATGTGCCTGTCTTCAATATGCTAGGAAGCCAGAGAGGTCCAGAAAGCAAGCATGGCCCTGAAGGACCCACAGGTGCAGTGCTGTCCCAGCACCATCATCCCCTTTCTGGAGCATCCCACTTCCCCTTCACCTACAAAAGAGAAGCAAACATATAGGGTACCATGGGGGAAGTGAGGTTTGACAGGTGAGCAGAGAGGTCAGGCTGTAGTGCACTTGCCCTCTTAGTAATCAGTGAGAGGAAGTACAATTTTCTTTAGCTGGGCCCCTGCTTCGAACAGGCTGTTTCCTGTTGCCAGGAGTCAGGGTCTGGCTGAGACTGATTTAGGACCCAAAGGTCAGTCCTGAGGAAAGGCCTCAGGGCTGGGCGACTGGGCAGTACCCAAGAGGGACCCCAAAGGAGCAAGCGGCCAAGATGGCCAGGAGTCCCAACACCCAGAGGGGAAACTGGCTTGGCTTGACCCCTCCCGGAAGTCTCAAGTCTGGGAGGAATTCTGTTTCCTTATCTGTTCAATGGAGATAATAACCTTGGCCTCTCTTATTGTCAGCAGCTTCCAGGAACACTGCCAAGAGCTTTAGTTTCACCATCTCCTTTCATTTTCCTCAAAACTACCCATTTGAACAGATAAAGAAGCCAGAGCCCAAACAGTAGATAAGATCACCAGGGCCACCCAGACTGTAGAAGGTGAAGGCAGAATTCACACCAGATCTGCTGGCGTCTAGAGCCTGCGCTTTGAGAACACCATGCTTTTCCTCTCCCATGAAACCCAGCAGTTCCAGGGCTGCATACAACACCCTTTGGCCCAGTGGGAATTGCCACCCCGGGTGGCTTGTCCAGGCCATCCGGGAAAGCCACCACTCACGTTTGCCCAGGGCACAGATATTAAGGTCAGCGAGGAGGCCAGCAGGTCAGGAGCAAGAGGAACACTTGCTGAAAGCCCTTGGCCAGGAGCCCAGTTTGGGGTGACAGGATGTGGACATGGATTCGCAGAGACCAGGGGCCTGAAAGGAATGCAGAAGCCGAGAGGGCAGTACCTACATGACAGCTCCATCATTGCAGGACTCCCGATTTCGTTGGTAGCCGACTAGACGAGACACGGGAATCTTCTTGATCATTTTGTTGCAGGAGAAGTTACACTTGCTCACACCGTGTTGCTGTCCTGACCCCACAGAGGCCCCCAGTCAGCCGGACTGCCCGTGGACATCTGGCTTCCCAGCCCCATGCCAGCTTGTCCCAGCTGCACCCTCCTAGCCAGAACCAACGCCCCACACCCTTGACCTCAGCCCCCTGTCCCAGGTCAAACCTCTCTAGGCCTCAGTTTCCCCACCTGTAAAATAGGGACAGCAAATAGAATCTACCTCACAGGGTTGTTGTAAGAATGGAGGAAAATGAATTCTTATAAAGCTCTTACGGCCTGGCACGTCTTGTTTAGTTTTAAAATTCAGTTGCTGGAGTGGGTTCACCAGGGGCGAGGAGTGTGAAACTGACAAGGATCTATCTGAGGTTACACAGCCAGCAAGTGACGGAACAGGCTCTCCTGCCAGGCCTCGCTCCTGGCCCTTCTGGACCCATGACGCTGCCATCCCCCCTACAGTGCTCTTACTGTAGTAAGTCATCTGCTCAGCTCTCACCCCCTCGCATGGGGATCCCATCCCTCCATCTCAGCCTGATCCATTCCCACAGCCTCTGAGACAGCCCTAGATCTCTGTCCATTCACATCCCATGTGTATTCCCTGCATACATCTCGGCCACCGGCAACTACCGTAATGACACACATTTATGCCCAGCTCAGAAAAACACATAAATGCATACATGCCACCAGGCTGACATAGCAGATAACAAAAAGTTTAAATATATGACGACAACCACCTTCTAAGCAGTGTGCTAAGTAGACAATCCTTTGTTCTGCCATTAAGAGCCAGGAGGGTTTCCCTGGTGGCTCAGTGGTAAAGAATCCACCTGCCAATGCAGGAGTCACGGGGTTCAATCCCTGATCTGGGAAGATCCTAGATACTGTGGACCAACTAAGCCCATGCAGTAAAACTATTGAGCCTATTCTGTACAGCCGGGGAGCCGCAGCTACTGAGTCTGAGTGCCCTAAGGCCTGTGCTCAGCAACAAGAGAAGCCACTGAAATGAGAAGGCTGAGCACTGCAACGAGAGACTAGTCCCTGATCGCCTCAACTAGAGAAAGCAGAGTGCAGCAAAGAAGACCTAGCACAGCCAAAATGTGAATACAGAAAAAAATAAATTGTATATAAAAAGAGCCAGGATGAGTTGGGAAGCAGCTCCCGAGAGGAACTTAATGGGCCATTTGGATTCCCAGGACAAGCTGGGGGAGCAGGCATAGGGAGGAGGGGTAGAAATGGGGTTGTGCATGGGGCGGGGGCAGAATGGGATAGGTGGGGCCTTAAGATGTCTGGGTCCCACGTGGAGCCAAACAGAAACCCCAGGACAGAATGACGGTGACTCAACAGACAGTTGAGAACCCAGATATTTTATATAAACATTCAAAGTGATTTGCACTGCACCTCTACCTTCCCCTAAAATCTCCAGCAAACTTTGCTTTGCTTGGTATAAGTTCGAGAGGGGCAGGCCAAAAAATGAAGAGCTTGAGTTTCCGATAGGAATTAAGGTCATTTGTAGCCGAAGCAAGACCTCAGAGGGTTTTGCAAAAATCTAGACGCCAGGACTTCCAGGGCAGTGGAGCCAAGAGAACAAATTTATTTTATTTCTGCAGAGCTTGGGAGGGCCCGGTGATCCCCGGGTTCCAGCAAAACACACATCGCTCTTGCACAAATACTTAATGTACGTGGACACACAAACTAAATATGCTCTGCCTTCCCAAATACAGGCATGCACACACACCTTCTAAAATCTGCTGCCCCTTCTCTCATCACGCCCCCTGCCTCAGCCCACCCTGCCTTGTGGGCGGGATAGGGGTGGGGTGGGGAGTCAGGGCTTGTAAGGTCAGGGCCAGGCCATCAGGGGGCATCACTAGTAGCCCCAGAGGTGGGCAGGGGGGCTCCCCGAAGCTGGCCCCTGAGTCACCAACAGCCCTTCTTCTCTGAGGAACCAGGATGTGAAAGTTGCCCTGCTGCCTTGTCACCTTACTTTTCCCACAGTGGGACCTCAGAATGACTCAGCAGCAGCCTCCCCAGGTCCTGTTGAGCAGAGTCAAGAGTCAGGCCCCTGGACTGGAGTGGCAGGTGACTTCCGGGGGAATTCCAGAAAAATGGTGCCCCTGATGACCTGGAACCAGGGGGAGGCTGCCCAGTGGGCAGAAGGGACAAACTAGGGAAGCTCAGTGCCCTCTTCCGACTCTACATCCACTATGCCCACCTCTAGGGCTTAATGAGCCACAAAAGCAGCCTGTCTCACAGTCCCCGCCCTCTGCCATGGTGCCTGATGGCCTTGGCCAGGTTCTGTTCTTGCTTTTGCCTGGGGAGGTGGTGTAACTAGCTGAGCGGGCTTTCCTTCTAGGAACTGAAGTTTTCTTTTCTGTAATTGGGGATAACGTCTCGACCAGCCAGTCATCTATTAACTGTTGTGTGAATGCAGGAGGACAGGGACCTTGTATGTTTCGGTGTCACAGTGTTTCTTATCATCAAGCATAAGGTGGATATAAATATTCATTGAATAAAATAATGTCTCAGTCTACTTATCCCTCCACCCGCCTCCCTACCCTTCTATCCATCCATCCATTTATCTGCCCCCTCTTGTCAATCTGCTACCAATTCCCTGCCACCCATCTGTCTACCTCCCACCTATCCCTACTCACCCCACTCCATCAATCTACCTGTGCCCCACTCACCTACCTACTACCTGTCTGTCCCCTAGGCATCCTCCACCCCCTTCCTCCACCCATCCCTCCATCTCTCTCCAGCCCACTCACACATCCTTCATCCATCCATCTGCTCCCTGATTCAGCCAACATCTGTTTGAGTTACTTTTGAGTATCTACAAAGACCCAGGCCCTCTTGTCCTTAACTCTGAACTCCTTTTCCCAGAGGTGCTAATGCTGAGCTTGGAGAGAGTACCTCATTCCCAATAAATGCTATCAGATCACCATGTTCACTCGGTCAACCAACAAATGCTGACCTGCCTCTGGCCAGGCCCTGTGAGGAGTAGAGGAATGAAGAAGGCCCATCTCAGCCTCAGAAGTCTCTCAACCTAATGGACGGTTAAGACAGAACCCCAGAGTATCAGAACTTTTCTTAGTAGATCACCTATGGTGTATTGGACCCTACACTCAGCCCATACACATCTGCTCTCATTAATTCCTGCAAAAAGATTACTTTTATCTTCATTTTAAAGATGTGGAAGCTGAGAATCAGAGAGGTTTAATGACTTGCCCAAGGCCACACAGCTGCTTAGTGGCAGATCTGGTTTTCCTCCCAGCCCCTAAGATAGTTCGCTATTCTAGGCTGCCTTAAACTCCAAGCAAAAACACCATGTTTCAGAAGAGACCTCAGGGAAGCTGAGGTTTACATGAAGGAGAGACCACCTCCAACTCCAAGTGATCAGAGGAGGTTTCTTGGAGGAAGAGTACGTTAGGCTAAAGCTCAAGGACTGTTCGGAAGGTCATAGGCAGGAAAAGATGGGAACGTTCTGGGTCTCTGGGTTTTTGGGTAATAGAGAGAGAGCTTGAGTCACTGCTCAGCTGTGTGTCTTAGATGAGTCACTCAGGTTCTCTGAGCCTCCCTTCCCTTCCCTGTAAAATGGACATGATAATAACTGCTTCATGGGATGGTTATGAGAATAAAGCTCTTAAAATATCTGGACCCTCAGAGCAGGGTTTTCTCAACAGCAGACACCACTGACATTTTGGACCACGTGATTCTTTGTTGTGCAGGCTGTTCTGTGTACCGTAGGATGTTTGGCATCACCCCTTGGCCTCGATGCACTAGATGCCTGAGTACCTCCCAACCAAAACGTAACAACCAAAAATGCAGCCAGAAATTGCCAAATGTCTCCTTGGGGGCAATTCCGGCACCGAGGACCACTGCCCTAGAGATACCCACATGATTTTCTCCCCTGCCTCCCTCAACGCCCCCTTCTCCCCTGACTCCCTACATAAAATCTCAACACCTTCCACACCATCCTTTGATCCCATTTTTTTTTTTAAATCACAGCATTTTTTTTCCCTTCTAACAGATCAAATCCTTTATTAATTCATTTTGAGTATTATCTGTCTTTTCTAGTTGATATTCAGCAACCCAAAGGGCTGGGATCACTGGCAGTTTTATTCACTGATGTGGCCCCAGCACCTAGAATTGTACTTGGCACATAGTAGGTGCTTATCGACCAAATGAATCAACAAAATGCACAAGGAAGCCACTTTGTATGTGTAAAATCCCAACCAACGGGATATAGAGGAATTTTTAATTTAGATTCGACCCAGGCCTGGATCTGACACTCTAGATTTAGCCTCCTCTGCCTTTCCCACCCACCCCTACTGCTAATCAGGGGGGCAGACGACAGCAGCTTAATTCATTTTTTTTCCCCCTCTTTCTTGTCAGAGCTTGAGTGGGAGTGAATGCGTCAGTGCTCCGGGAGGAAAATTCTCTGTTCTGACTTGTATCTGCAGGTTTGTTATATAAAGCAGAGGAGCCTCCTGCCTGACACAGCCCTGCAAACCCACATTTGGGAACTGACGCAGCCACCCTGCACCAGCCAGGGCGGTAGCCACAAAATCCCCAGCTCCCCCTCACTCCCAGCCCCTCCGGCTTGTGGTCCAATCCCTAAGTTCTGCAGGGGCTCCCAGGGGGTCTCTCTGAGCCACACATGTCAGTGTGACTAAGAACTTTCAAGATGAACCTGGCCAAATGCCCAGTTGTACAGCAGGAGAGATGGAGCCTCAGAAAGGTCGGAATAATGGGAATATCTCCCAGCAAAACCAGTGGCCAAGATTAGGGTGGACATCTGATGGTTTTGAAGCCTCAGGCTCCTGGATAGAGCTTCCAGAGTGCCCCCTACCCAGGATCCCTCCTCCGTCCTAGCAGAGAAGACACCCCCCTACAACCCAGCTTAGTAGAAGTGATCCTCCTCCTTCTCCCACTTGCCAAGTGTCCTCAGCCTCACCACGCACATATAGGCAATAGCTATATTTAAAGGTGCAGCAGCTGGGACCAAAGAAGGCAATACCGTATTCAGGGTCACAGCTATGGCCAAGCAACCTCCACCTGACTCCTCATCTTCCAATCCTCGCTGTCCGCGAACACCTCAGGGCTCAGGGGTTCAAGCCCAGGAAGCAGGAAGGCCAGTAGCGCTTGGCCTGCACCATCTCCACTCGCCTGCTCTCTGCCCCACCGGTGGCTTTTCCCCAAACAGAGGAACTCGGGGGACAGCGCGCTCCATGGAGGTGTCCTGGAAGCCAGAGACTGGTGCCCATTTTCCCAGACTGGTTGTGTGCCCGAAGGCAGCCTCCCGCCCTCTCTGAGCCTCAACCTGCCAGATGGCCTGGGTATTCCCAGAGGATAGGGCTGACTCAAACAGCTCTTGAAGGCAGTGAGATCCACAGACGTGGGAGCGTGCATCCACGCTCCCTCCTGCACCCACTCTTACCCCCTCCTGTCTTACTTGCTGGCTGTGCATCCTCAGGTCAGTTTCTCAACCTCTTTGGGCCTCCATCTCACTCATGTTGGGTGGGATCGATACATCATGCCCTCCCAGGTCCCAGGCTCCAGAAAGCAAGTGACTGGAGGTGAAAACATTTTCTGAACTGTGCTTTGAAAGAGAAAGACAGTACCCTGTCTTTTTTTTTGAGGAGGGGACGGACATGGGCAGAGGGATTGGGGGTTAGACCAGAGGCACAGGGATGAGCCCAATTCATGAGCTGCAATGACCTTGACCTCCACTGGTCCTGGGCCCCTTCTCCTAGGGAGGCCTTGAAATTGGGCAGGAGAAAGTCCCAACTGTGGCCTGGCCTGGGGCCAAGCCGAGACTACAGGAGTCAGGACCGAGGGTTACATATTAACCCCGGACAGGGAAATGAGCCCACGGTCTGCCAGAGCTCCATCCGAGTGCCCACCAAGAGCCTCCTCAGGCTTCCCACCACCCGCACTCTCCCGGTACCCCCACACCTGGCATCGTCTGCTGCCCACACCACCTCCCTGCTCTGCCAAGTGATCAACACCTTGCTCATTGGGCCAGACAGGGACAGTCTCTGGTGAGAGTAAATTTTTCCAGCTGGAGGGCAGACCACACGACCAGAGAGGTGTCCAGCCGCATCCCCCCCCACCCTCCGGCCCCGCACCCAGCTCCTACCTCCCCCACCCGGCATATATGTCAAGAAGGGGCTGCCAGGGATCTCAGCCTTACCCGGGGAAGGCTCTGGGGGCCCTGATGTCAGGCTTGAGGGGGAGAAGTGGGGCTCGGGGCTCCCCTTACCCCGCTCATGCCTGAGTCCACCCCACTCACCGGCTAGCAGCGCAACCAAATGGCAGAGGACAGTCAAGCAGAGCAGCCCCGAGAGAGGCGGAAGACCCATGGCTGGGGCGGGCGGGGGTCCAGGGGCGCCAGGCAGGCGGCAGGGGCCCTTGTGGAAGCTCAGCGCTTGTCCCCTGGCCGCCTGAGCTCTGCTGCGATTTATAATGGGGCTCCTCTGCCTCCGCCTCCGCTTCCAGCCCCCGCAGGCAGCAGGCAGGCGGTGGGAGGGGAGAGGAAGGGAGCGTGTGCAGCAACTGGATTCCTCAGGATGTTGCCAAGGAACCGAGTCTGGCTCTGGGTGAGCGGCTCGTGATGGGGGGACCGGGCTGGCTCCGCATATGGGGACCTGCCTGGGAGGCTGGACCAGGCCTGTTAGGGTTCAAAGGGCTTCCTCTCCTCCCATCAGCTGAGGCCGCCTCCCTACTGGGAGCTGGCACATGTCCTAGGGCCTGAGCTGGGGGCCTAGCTCCTAAGTGGGCAGAAAACAAAAGGACAGAGGACTGGAGAGTGCCGGCGGCAGGCAGGCAAGCCAGGAGGACTTGGGGGGTCCCGCCATCTGGGGTCTGATAAAGTCTCCCCTGGTCTGGGAGGGAGCTCTCCGATGCCAGGAAGGACCTCTAACCCTTACTTCTCAATGCCCCAGCACCTGGGGGACCTTGTTCATCAAGGTGTTCCCTGAGGTCAGCGTGGAACCTGGCAAACAATAGGGGGTCCATACAGCAAAAGCCTGCGGAAAGAAAGAGCCAGCCCCACTTCACAGGGGCAGATGGGGAAAGTGAAGCCCTGAGAGGGGCCAAGCATCCACAGAGAGCATCAGAGAGGAGAACCGACCTCCCCCGCGACAGAGAAGAGCGGGCAGGCCCAGGGGGTGGGCGGTTCAGGACACGGCAAAGAGCCCCAGCCTCCCCACCTCCGGCCCCACCACCTCTCCTTTCCTCTTTTGCTCTTTCCTCATCTCCTCCCTCCCATCACCCACTCGCCCACTGTGAGCCCAGGGGAAACACATGGCTACCAGCATCACCCCTGCTAACTCGGGGCCTCTCGGGTGGTCCTTAGCTCAGCAGCAAGCCCTGAAAGATCTCTGCCCCTCGTGAGGCCTCCATTCTCCCATCTGTTCAAGAAGGGAGTTGGGTTGATCACTGAGGAGGGGGCTTCCCAGCTCCGACTTCCCAGTCTCTCTCTGTCAGAGGCGGTGACAGGCACAACTGGCCATCAGCTCCCACCAAACTGGTCTCAGAGTTTGCTGGTTTGAATGGGTACTGCACATCGGCTTTTGAGGCTGCCTTCCCCACAGGAAGACTCCAGGAGACTCTAGCAGGAGCCCACTCAATCTGGGGCAGGAGTTAACTGTGAACCCACTCCCATCGAGGCGACTCTGGGCTGCCAGCCAGAGCAAAGCCAGTCTTTCTGTGAGCTACAGCTGCAGGCTATGGAGCCAGTTGGTCTAGGTGCTGCTGGGCAGAGGGGTCAGAGCTCCCGGGGCACTTCCCTCTTACCGTAAAGCTGTCTGGGGTGTGGAGCTAGAAGGCTGGACCCTCCTTGACAGGGAGGGGCATCCCTGGCACTCGTCAATGTCCACTCAGGCTCAGAGAATCTGTCCCAGCCCACGCAGACATGAAGTAGTAACCTTCACATCCCTCAATGTATAGCTGGGGAAATCGAGGCCCAAAGAGGGCCCAAAGTGATACAAACAGAGGTCCCAGCCTCTTTCTGTTCTGCCCATGATGAGAAAGGGGTGGGGGTGGGAGGAAGGGGGAAGAAGATAAGTAGCAGGAGGACGCTGTCTAGTAGCCAAGTCCTCTCTGACTCTTTGCGACCCTATGGACTAGCCCGCCGGGCTCATCTGCCCATGGGATTTCCCAGGCAAGAATTCTGGACTGGGTTGCCATTTCCTCCTCCAGGGGATCTTCCCGACCCAGGGACTGAACCCATGTCTCCTGCATTGGCAGGTGGATTCTTTACCACTGAGCCACTGGAAAAACCCAGGAAGAGGAGAAGGGGGAAAGAAATAGGGAAGAGGGGAAGGGGAGAGGGGTGAGGGGAGAGGCAAGTCCTGGGAAACCCCACATTTCCTAAAGGACAAGAACCAGGTTGTGCCAAATATTTGGGAGTAGCGACCCTTGCTCTCTTGGCCCCAGACCATGCTCCAAAGAAGGATTTAGGAAGCAAGGGCTTTGAGCTCAGATGATCCTGGTTCTAGCACTATTGCCATGTTATCTCAGATGACTACCCTGCGTCTCTGATTTCACACTTAGTCTGAGACAGGCAGTGTTTTAAGTGCTTTGTATGACAAATTCAGCAAATTATGACACCAAACCCAGGTGTAAGCAAGATGCCATTATCATGTTCCATTTTATGGAGGGGGAAATTGAGGCATGCCAAAGTTAAGGAATTTTCTGAGTATCACCATCCCAGAAGTGGGAAGCCTGGATGTGCACCAGCCAGCTGACTCTGGAGTCTGAGGTCCTGACTCCAGATTACACCTTTCCCCCTACCCCCATTGTGAGGAATGTGGAGGGAATTGAGTTTTTGCCCTTAAGGTACTGGTTCAGAGTCTGGCACGGAACAGGTACTAAAACACAGAGATAGCACTGCTTTTCTTTGTCCAGCCCTTGGGAATGTCCCCTGTCCTCTTCTGGCCCAGGTTTTGCTCCCACAAAATGGGAATGGTCACCTCACCTGTCTCATCAGGGTGTTAAGAACTGAGCTTAGACTCAATTCAGACACAGTAGCCAGGCTTTTAGGTTGGTGGGACCTGAGACAAACATGACTCAACCACTTATGAAGGGTATCACCTTGGGCAAGTGTCTTAATCTCTCTGAGCCTCAGCTTTCCCATCTGTAAAATGGGATGCTAATAGCCGCCTCACCGAATCACTCACTCCCTGGGGAGTTGACAAGACTAAGGACTTTCATGGTGCCTGACACACAGGAACCATTGGTGTTTGTTATTCAACCCTGATGTGTGCCTGGCACTATGGAGGACAGGGAGGGGGAGGTGGCGCAGGAGGGGAGGTAGGGAAATAAAGTTTTTGCCCTAAGGAGCCCCAGTTCAGTAGTAGAAAGAAGATGCAAGTCCTATCAGAAATTCGAAGGCTGCAGGTCTCCGGGAGGGAGAGAAGCCTTTGTTCTTGTCTGGAAATCAACGAAGGTAGGAATGAGAGATGATATTTCAGCCAGAAAGTGGGCAGAATTTTTGCTTGTTTCTTTACATTATTGTTTTGAAAAATTAGTAAACAATAACAAAGGGATGAAACAAAGAGCTTTCCTGCATTTTTCCTTATTTGATTCATCTTTCTTCTTTTTGCCAAGCCATCTCAAAATAGTTGCCTGATACTTTGCCCCTGAATTCTTCGGCATGTACCTCCACAGTATAAAGACATTGTCTTACACGAATAGGATACTATTATCACACTTAGCAAAACTAATGATTCCTATACCTCTTATGACATTTAGTTAATATTCAAATTTCTCCAACTGTCCCGAAATGTATTTTAAGTTTCTTCTCCTGTCTTCCCTCTTTCTCTCTTTCTTCCTTCCTATCTATCTATCGACTATTGAGCCATGGTCCAATTTAGGTTCATGCATGGCTTACGGTTGTTTCTATTAATCCTGCATTAGACTTCTTTTACATTTTTCATGATTGAATTCCTGGAAGAGTCAAGACCATTGTCTTGCTCGCTGTTTTTCTCACTGTGTGTTGTCTCTGAGGAAGGAATGGGCAGGAAGTCTGCTTTAGACACTTTGAAGCTGGAGTGAGAAAAGAAGATGCTATTCAGGGAAAAAAGGAAGCTGGGATTCTGAGCTGAGGAATCACCAGAGCAGCACAGGGTGACAGGAAAGAGGGTTTTCGCAGGGTCAGTGGGATGGTAGGGAGAGAGATATTCTCACTATATTCTGCAGACCTACTGGTGGCTGGGACCCTGTGTGGGTGCCCCAAAGAGCAGGGAGGCTGCCTCACTGTTGTGGAACCTGGGGGATTCTCCCAGCATCGGAAGCAGGACAGAAACAAGTGGGGAATGGGGTGGGGAGCCCAGGGCACACCTGTGGGGCTCCGGGTTGATAGGAGGAATGTGGTGGCCAGTGAGATGTCTTTCCAGGTCCCCCTGGGGGCCGCACTCCCTGCCCTAGCCAGCCCTACCCAGCTCACCTTTTCTGACCTCTAAAGAGGGCAACACACATGCTCCGGACATTTTCCTCTATCTGTGCACGTGCCTGGCCACCTCCTCTTTTTATTGTGGTAAAATAAACATCACTTTGCCAACAAAGGTTCGTCTAGTCAAAGCTATGGTTTTTTCAGTAGTCATATACAGATGTGAGAGTTGAACCATAAAGAAGGCTGAGCGCTGAAGAATTGATACTTTTGAATTGTGGTTCTAGAGAAGACTCTTGAGAGTCCCTTGGACTACAAGGATATCAAACCAGTCAGTTCTAAAGGAAATTAACCCTGAATAGTCACTGGAAGGACTCATGCTGAAGCTCCAATACTTTGGCCACCTGATGCAAAGAGCCAACTCATTGGAAAAGACCCTGATGCTGGGAAAGACTGAGGGCAGGAGGAGAAGGGGTGAGATGAGATGGTTGGATGGCTTTACTGACTCAATAGACATGAATCTGAGCAAACTCCAGGAGTTTGATGAAGGATGGGGAAGCCTGGTATGCTGTAGTCCATGGGGTCGCAAAAAATTGGATGGGACTTAGCGAACAACCACATACATCATTTTAAAAATTAACATTTTAACCATTTCTAAGTGTTCAGTTCAGTGGCATGAAGTACATTCACATTGCTGTGTAACCATCATCAGCACAATCCATCTCCAGAATTTTCTCATCTTGCAAAACTGCAAGTTTGGACCCAGTGAACAATAACTCCCATTTCCTCCTGCCCCCTGCTCCTGGCAACCACCTATCTGCTTTCTGTGTCTAGGAGTGTGACTACTCGAGGAATCATACAGTACTTCTCTTTTTGTGACTGCCTTCTTTCACTTTCAAAGTTCATCCATGTTGTAGCAGGTGTCAAAATTTCCTTCCTTTTAAGGCTGAATTATATTCCACTGTATGGTTAGACAACATTTTGCTTATGCAGTCATCATCGATGGGTGCTTGGGTTGTTTCCACCTTCTGGCTATTTCAGAAAATGCTGAAGTGAATAATGGGTGTACAAATATCTATTCCGGTCCCTGCTTTAAATTTTTATGTGTGGATGCCCAGAAGTGGGATTTCTGGATCATATGGTAGTTCTATGTTTATTTTTTTTGAGA